AACGTTGTGAAAGGGGGGGGGGGGGGGGTGAATTTTGGGATGGAAAGGCTTTTCTCCGGGGGGGGTATGCACAAAGCGGTTTACTGTTTTTTGTGTAATGCGTGGTTGAGAAAAAGTGGTTTTGTGAGTGGATGTGGGGGTGAAGTTTTTATGTGTTATAGATGTTTAAGGGGAGTCTATGCCTTCTTTCTTTGTTTAAGTATTTATTCCCTTTTGGCTATGGCCTGGGAAACAGGGTTTTTGTGTTTTGTACCGGGGAATTTATGCTATGTTATATAATGTTATAGCCTGTAATAGTGCGGATGATTATGGGTTTTCAGTTTTGTGGCTGACTCGTAAGACTTGGGAAGGGGGAGTATTGGGGACTGTAGGGAACTTTTGTCTGGGAGTTAGGGAAGAGTATGTCTTTGTTTTATCATGAATTTTGATGTGGGTTTTTTGGTTAAATTTTGTGTTGGTTTTAGTAACCCATATTTTTATTATTTATCATACTATTCTTTTATTGTTTTTTATTTGCATTGGGAATATGTCCCCCTATATTATTTAAAAAGTGTATACCCGAAGGGATTTATGGTTTTATTTATATTATTGAACCCGCTACAGGGGTCACCTACATGTTATGTTCTTGTTGTTGTTCTTGTGTACATAGGGTTAAGATTGCCCATCTTCTTAATGTTATGTTTTGTCCAAGCGATATTTTCTAGTATAAAATTTTGTAACCTCTTGTGTTTGTTAATATTGTGTTTATTTGCTATTGTACGTTCTGAGAGATTGTTTCAAAATGTGTTTATATCAATGTGTATCAACCCTAGTTTAAGGGTTTTATGTTAAGCTATGTATTGAATTTTAAATAAAATAAAAAAAAAAAAAAAAAAAAAAAAAAAAAAAAAAAAAAATGCGGTGTGTTGTGTGTGAGAGTGTATTACCACTGTAATAACAGTGTGTTGTGTGTGAGAGTGTATTACCACTGTAATATACAGTGTGTTGGTGGTGAGAGTGTATTACCATGTAAATATCGGTGTGTTGTGTGTGAGAGTGTATTACCACTGTAATATACGGTGTGGTGTGTGTGAGAGTGTATTACCACTGTAATATACGGTGTGGTGTGTGTGAGAGTGTATTACCACTGTAATATACGGTGTGTTGTGTGTGAGAGTGTATTACCACTGTAATATACGGTGTGGTGTGTGTGAGAGTGTATTACCACTGTAATATACGGTGTGTTGTGTGTGAGAGTGTATTACCACTGTAATATACGGTGTGTTGTGTGAGAGTGTATTACCACTGTAATATACGGTGTTGTGTGTGAGAGTGTATTACCACTGTAATATACGGTGTGTTGTGTGTGAGAGTGTATTACCACTGTAATATACGGTGTGGTGTGTGTGAGAGTGTATTACCACTGTAATATACGGTGTGTGTGTGTGAGAGTGTATTACCACTGTAATATACGGTGTTTGTGTGTGAGAGTGTATTACCACTGTAATATACGGTGTGTTGTGTGTGAGAGTGTATTACCACTGTAATATACGGTGTGTTGTGTGTGAGAGTTATTACCACTGTAATATCGGTGTTTGTGTGTGAGAGTGTATTACCCCTGTAATATACGGTGTGTTGTGTGTGAGAGTGTATTACCACTGTAATATACGGTGTTTGTGGTGAGAGTGTATTACCACTGTAAATCGGTGTGTTGTGTGTGAGAGTGTATTACCACTGTAATTATGGTGTGTTGTGTGTGAGAGGTATTACCACTGTAATATTTCGGTGTTTGGTGGTGAGAGTGTATTACCACTGTAGTATGGTGTGGTTGGTGTGAGAGTGTATTACCACTGTAATATACGGGTGTTGTGGTGAGAGTGTATTACCACTGTAATATCGGTGTGGTTTTTGTGAGAGTGTATTTACCACTGTAACTAGGGGTGTTTTTGTGTGGGGAGTGTAAATTACCACTGTAATATACGGTGTTTGTGGTGAGAGTGTATTACCACTGTAATTCGGTGTTGGGTTTTGTGTGAGAGGGGTATTTCCACTGTAATTACGGTTTTGTGTGTGTGGGGAGTGTATTACCACTGTAATATACGGTGTGTTGTGTGTGAGAGTGTATTACCACTGTAAATACGGTGTTTTTGTGTGTGAGAGTGTATTACCACTGTAACATACGGTGTGTTGTGTGTGAGAGTGTATTACCACTGTAATATACGGTGTGGTGTGTGTGAGAGTGTATTACCACTTTTAATATCGGTGGGGTTGTGTGTGAGGTGTATTACCACTGTAAATCGGTGTGTGTGTGTGAGAGTGTATTACCACTGTAATATACGGTGTGTTGTGTGTGAGAGTGTATTACCATTGTACTGTATGGTGTCGTTTATTAGGTCTCGGGTTAAGTGCTATTCTAGTGCAGTAATCTTTTGTCCTGTATCTTTTTAATATATTTCTGCCATTTGTATCGCACTGTTTTAAATAAAATAAAAAAAAAATATTATTATTAATTATTATTATTATTAATATTATTATTATTACTATTATTATTATATTATTATTATTATTATTATAAATATTATTAATATTATTAATATTATTATTATTATTATTATTATTATTATTATTACTATTATTATTATTACTATTATTATTATTATTATTATTATTATTATTATTATTATTATTATTATTAATTCTGCATCATACAAAGTCATTGTAATAATATTCTGTCTAATACCGCATCATACATAGCTATTTTTGTGTCTGTAATAACTGCATGGAATTTTTAATTACTAAATTCATTAAAGTCATTAATTGTATAAAGTAATTACTAAATTATATGTATTTTAATTACCTTAATTTAGAATTCATGTAATTTAAACTGTTGCTAATCCAAATATCACTGAGACCCACTCTGTCTTCCTTTTGACAGCTCAGTTTCGCTTATATTTACCATAAATCACTATTATGTCTGTAATAAATTATTTATTTTCCGAATTTTACCTCCAGAAACTCATATTCTCCCGCCATTATTTAAAAAAAGTGAGACTCTGATTGGCTGGGAGAGCGAGGAGAAGGACTCTGAGTGGTGGAGGGAGCTGTGATTCTAGCCAATCAGGAGTAGTTTTATGTTCAAAGTTGTTGACGGTTGAAGGTCAACCTGGTGTCCTCACTCACCCCTGATACACCAAACAAGTTGCTGTTGCTGCTACGCTACAAACTTTAATAAGGTAAGCTTTTACTTGCACCTATGGATGTTGTTAGGTAAGACACATATGCAACAGTTAGGTATCTTTATTATGAAACGTTTCGCCTACACAGTAGGCTTCTTCAGTCAAGTACAGAAAAGTTGATAGAAGCAGAAGATACTTGAAGACGATGTAATCAGTCCATCACCCTTAAAGTTTCGAGGTGGTCAGTCCCTCAGTCTGGAGAAGAGCATTGTTCCATAGTCACTTCAACTCCATATTGTTTCGTACTATGGAACAATGCTCCTCTCCAGACTGAGGGACTGACCACCTCGAAACTTTAAGGGTGATGGACTAATTACATCGTCTTCAAGTATCTTCTGCTTCTATCAACTTTTCTGTACTCGACTGAAGAAGCCTACTGTGTAGGCGAAAGGTTTCGAAATAAAGATACCTAACTGTTGCATGTCTTACCTAACAACCTGTCGGTATTTTATACCATTTTAATGTTGAACCTATGGATGTTACCATGAAGGGAGGTGCCCTGATGCTGGTGAGGCTCTTGATCCAAGGGATTGGACCTTAGCCTTCTTGGATGGGATCTTATTGTTGCCTCCCACCCCAGGTGCTGTGATCCCCCCTGAGAGTTTAGTGCTTCTTTTAAAGAAAATAACCAAAAAAATGAACCCTCTAAGGTAAGGGGGGTCCTTGATAGCGCCGAGGGGCTCTTGATCCGAGGGATTTAACCTGAACCTCAGTGCCTCCCATTTTCTCAGGTGTTGTGAAGACCTACGGGTTTGACTCCTAAATTATAGTTATGTAATTATGGTGCACTTCCCCGATGTTAGTCATGACTGAATTCTACTGTATCTTACAGCTAGGCTTTAAATAATAAAATATTGGGACCCTAATTAAATAAATCACTTTGATTTTGTTATCCTGGCGAGTAATTTATAAGTCACTGTATATGATAATTACACTTTTGTGTTCCTGTACCAAGGTAAACCGACCTACTTGATGCAACTCAGACGTTGGTTTACATTTTCTCAACCATTATAAACCTTGCTGATTGATACCAACATAGTGGTCTAAAGACACGTGAACAAACATTAGGACATGTTTATAATAAACAATTTTGGTCCTGGGACCTTTATTGTTTAAAGTGATTGAGGTCAAAGGACTGAAACTGTTTCTAATAAGTATGTACTAGTGTTTGCTCGTGTAACTTTTTAAACCAAAATCTATGAACCCCAATGGAAATAAGCATGGACCCCAATAAGAAAGTCGCTACTTTTTTTGGGTTATCCTAGGTAATTTACACTTATAATTGTAACTATGTACCTGTGCCTAAATAAGCTTATTTACTCGCCACCAAATAAGAATAAAAGAATACTTTTTTCAAGGCTGAGGTACTGATAACTCATCTTCATTCTTTAGTTCGTGGTTTTTTTTTTTTTTTTTTTTTTAGAAATAACATGCATAATACATAAACCACTAGCCGACAAATTAACACAGCAAAAGACCGTGGTAGACAATGTCAGTACACGCCCAAAACCAATACAATTTTACACATTGATATTACAAAATACTTCTGAATAACCACAACTAGTTTATGGAGAAACATCCTGCCTCCCAAACACGAGTTATTATAAAATGTGTAGAAGAAAGTCCTAATGTGTATATATATACACATGCATGTACATGTGTGCCTATGTGTGCATACAGAAAAGACTAAATTATACATGATATAAAGCACAACTTTACCCCAAATAACATAAAATATATATTGCATCCACTAATAAGACTGTTGTGGAACTTTATTTGGTCCCTAAAGTTCCATAGGACAGATATGGCATACAAAGGGGTCCCAGCATGGCCATTATGGAATGGCTGAGCTGGGTGGCCCTTGCACCCACCCATAAACAAAAATGCATTCTCTCCCGGTTTGGCGTGCTTGGATGGTAAGCACTTATTAATTTATAGATTTACCCTTCAGGGAAGAAGTAGGTAGTTTACTGTTAGTACACTAATATTAGGATTATTGAAGAAACTATAGATAATAATAATGTAGACCAAAGACCTTAACATGGGTAGTAATAGGCCGATAATCTAGGCAAACGCTAGGTTAAGTTAGCTAGGGAGAACTGGCAGCCCTAGTTTGAATGACTAGGCATGGGCCTGGAAGGGATCAGGTCATTCTCCAGACACCAACTGGACAACACATGCCGTGATCAGCAGACGGCGCCCCCCCCCCCACGTGTCTTCACATTTGAGACCTGGGGAAATCTGGTAGAGGCAGCTCTATGTACCGTAGATGACCACCTCTCAGGCCCATACAGTAAGACAAAACCTCTAGTTTCTCTTAGGATTTCTGGCCAGTGTCTGGGGGGAAAAGTGTGAGTTGAACTGTGGGCAGCTGGCGGTGCATGCCCAGTACGTACCAGTGTCTGTTCTACCTAGAAGCTAGTGTCCGTGTCTTCATAGTTGTACTAGGGGATACACGCCCCCTTGGATATAGGAATTTGAGGTGCAGGCAGGTCACTAATAAAGATTGAATATTGTAGGAATTAAGGCTCCTGGTTGCACGTGGATTCTGAGGGAAGTCCAAAGGGGCTAAGCTTAGGAAGGTTGAAGATCAGGATATATGCTGGAACACCAAATAAGTTAGTCCTTTATATGTGCATGCAGGAGTTTCTTGCAACATCAATCATTTATGAAAATCTGTCCTATAAGCCACTTGTGAGGCTGAGGTACCCACCTCAGAGCTGTCAACAGAGCTTGCCAGGGTAGGTGACTCGCTTGGAGGCAGCCCAGACAAATTTTCACAACTGTACCCAAGACATTGGTTCCCACATACACATCTACACACCCAAAAATAAAAAAACCAAAAAAACAGACCCATACAGGGCAATATCCATGACCACTACTATATTCCCAACCACGTATCAAACACAAGGCTGATGTTAACGGTTAATATTCAGTATATAATATGACCTACATACAGATACAAAAGTATACAGTAGGGCCCCACTTACGTGACAGGTTAGGTTCCAGGCTACCGTCGTAAAGCGGAAATTGCCATGAAGTGGAACACTTCCCCCCCCCCCTTATAAATGCATACAAATACTATATAAGTTTACACTAACATATATTAAGTTAGCAATAGAACTAGGCATTAAAAAACAAAGTGCAATACACAAATATTGCACTCATTACTTACCTTAAAATATTTAGTCTTAATCTAGGGTGAGATGAGTACTATTTCTTGAAAGAAATAGTGTGGTGTGTATGGCAGTCAGCCGGGCTACCATACCAGGCCATTCCACCCACGTGCATTAGTAATTTTATTCAGGTATACACAGCTACTTGTACATAGCAGCATGTGTAGAGAACCTAGGATATCCCAAAAGTCAGCGGCTTATTTCCATTGGGGTCCTTTTACCTTATTATAATATAAAGGTTATATTTTCTTCTACAATGAAGATAACGTCTCTTTATCATACTAAAGACTATCTACAATACGAGGGTTATTACTAGGAATAAGGTAAAATTTAAACGTATGTTAGCAAAAAAATAAATCATTCCCCTCCCTTTCTGTAGATATTAAGACACCTTTTGGCAGTCTTCTTGAACTGGTTCATGCTAAGACTGGCTTTGACATGTGCAGGCAGTGTTTCCATTCCTTTATTGCTGTACAATAAAAGGTGTTTGAAGCCTGGCCACTGAATGTGGGTACTACAAAGTTGTGCTCCCTCCCCCTAGTATTATGATTGCTTTGGTTCCCAACCTTGACAAAATTGACAAAGATATTCTGGACACTGTTTTGTGAGCAATTTTATAAACATGATTTAGCTTCAGTTGTTTTACTGTCTTCAACATTCAGCATATCAAACTGCTGTAATTCATCATGGCCTAAATGTTCTCTTCATCCCAGCCCCAGGATGAATCTTAAAATTTTGTTCTGGGTGATTTGCAGTCTTTCAGTTTTTTTGTCAAGGCAGAGTACCATGAAGAGCAAGCATAATCCATATGGCCTTGTATAAGGGCTAGACATAGGGTCCTGCGAGCCTTGGTAGATACACTGTGCTTGTCTATACAGGAACTTCAGTCTGGCATTTGCTTTCTTTACTACATTGTTCCCTATCAATTCTCCTGACATGCATGAGTCAAAGGGGATTCCCAGATTTTACTGATGAAACCAAAGTGATGGGCTCCCCATTACTGAACATTAAAATTATTTACCCTTCTCAGTTTGTTTCGTGCCAAAGAGAATGGCTTCAGGTTTCCCCGAGGTGTAATGATGGTTTGTCTACTAACCATTTGCTGCAGGACACCAGTTCCAGTGTTAAAACATTAGCAATATCTTGTGGGTCTTTACCTGACACTAACAGAGCACTGTCATCTGCATACAGTAGGAGTTTGCACTTGACACTGATAGGCATGTCATTGACATAACATAAGAATAAGGGACCCAGAATACTACCTTGGGGGAACTCCACATGTTATTGGCATGGGTTCTGATTGTTTTGTTGATTTTTGACTATTTATCTCCTGTTGCTAAGGTAGGACTTAAACCAGTCTACAGAACCTATACCGATAGCTTTAAGTTTCTTGCATAATATATTGTGGTTGACAGTATCAAAGGCCTTTTGCAGGTCTAAGGTTACCATACCTATGAGGTTCCCCTTTGCACTTTAAAGGAGGGGTTTGGGATACTGGCAGTTTGAAGGGACTTCTAAACTGTTGTTGCAGAGTGCCTCTGCAAAGACTGATTCTGTATGAGTGGTGAAAGGTTGAATGATAAAGTATTTTTCTTTCTTTATGGGTCACCTTGCCTCGGTGGGAAACGGCTAACGTATTAAAAAAAAAAGTCCGACTATACCTGGTAAAGTGTATGGTAGTTGTTATTGAAAGAATTAAGTGTAAGATGAAGAGCAGGATAGCGGATAAATAAGGAGGCTTTAGGAAGGGTAGGGGATTTGTAGACCAAGTATTTACAGTGAAACAGGTAAACAGTATTTAGATAAGGTAAAAAGGTTTTTGTGGCATTTATGGATTTGGAAAAGGCGTATGATAGGGTGGATAAGGGCACTGTGGCAGATGTTACAAATGTATGGAATAAGAGGTTGGTTATTGAAAGCGGTGAAGTCTTTGAGGATAGTGAGTATGTAGGTGAAATTATTTCCCAGTCAAATTAAGCCTTGCATAGGGATGTGTGATGCCACCATGGTTGCTCAATATATTTGTAGATGGAGTCTTAAGGTAAGTGAATGCTCGGGTATTGGCAAGAGGTGTGGGGTTAAAAGATTAAGAATCTAACACAAAGTGGGAGCTGTCACAGCTGCTGTTTGCTGATGACACTGCTTTTGGGAGATTGATGAATTTGCAGAGGTTGGTTGATGAGTTTGGTAGGGTATGTAAAAGAAAAATTAAGTGAATATAGGAAAGAGTAAGATCATGATAAAAAAAAATTGTATAATGGAGGATTGGATATCAGATTGGAGGGAGAGAGTATGGGGAAGGAGTGTACTCAGATGCAGTAGTACCTCTGGATACTAACAGCTCTAAACTCAAACAATTATGCAAGTGGATTTGTGCAAATGCTTTTATAAGTGTATTTTTGCGGGTCTGAAACTGATTAATGTAATTCCCATTATTCCATATGGGAACAAATTTGTTCGGTATTGGCACTTGAACAGCCTGCTGGAATGAATTAAGTTTATATCTCGAGGTACCAGTGTATTTGGGAGTGGACGTGTCAGCAGATGGGTTTGTGAAAGACGAGGTGAATCATAGACTTGACGAGGGAAAAAGATGAATGGTGCACTGAGGAGTCTGTGGAGACAAAGAACTTTATCCATGAAAGCAAAGAGGGGGATATACGAGTATAGTTATACCAGCGCTCTTGTATGGGTGCGAGGCATGGGTGGTGAATGTTGCAACAAGGTTGTAGGCATGTCTGAGGGCAATGTATAGTGTGAATATAATAGTTTGGAGATTAGGTAGAGGTGTGGGATTACCAAAACTATTAACCAGAAGGCCGAAGAGGGGTTATTGAGATGGTTTGGACATGTAGAGGATGGAATGAAATAAAATGACTTTGAGTGTATAAATCTGTAGTGGAGGGAAGGCTGGGTAGGAGTTGGCCTAGGGAAGGTTGGAGGGAGGGGGGTAAGATATTTTTGTGAGAGGGTCTTGGACTTTCAGTAAGCATGCACGAGCGTGTTGGGAGCAAATTGAGACAAATGGTTTTTAGGACTTGTGGTGTAAACAAGGTAACATTTATGAAGGGATTCAGGTAAACCGACAGACCGGACTTGATTCCTGGAGATGGGAAGTGCAGTGCCAGCACTCGGAATGAGGGGTGTTAATGTTTTATAACTATAGTGTAAGCATTCTTCTGGCAAAACTGTGGAGTGAATGATGGAAGTTTTTATTTTTTGAGCCACCCTCCCTTGGTGGGGAAACAGCCAGTGTGTTAATAAATGTAACTATTTTATCCTCCCTCTTTTTTTTGTTGTTTTCCCTTATTTTTACATTGCAAAAACTTTGGGAAAAATAGAGGCATTGGTGTTTTTTGAAAAAAAAAAAAAAAAAAAAAAAAAATTCAAAGGAGTTGATGTGCAAGTTCTAATTTCAGTTTGTGGGGTGAATAACTTTCACTAACACATGTGATAAAGGGTTACTTTGTTCCTTACGTCATTTCTTTTAGGAAAGTTAAAAAAAATAGAAGCAACATTCTAATTTCTGTGTACAGAAGTTAAGATTAAATGTGAATACTGAAGAGGATCCCAGCAGGGGGTTGAAATGTACAGGTCAATTAATCTTTAGTTTGTCTGTGTGGGTTATTAATGAGCAGTGAAGTATGTGTGGTCTTTAAATAGTAGTTATCAGTAGAGGTGTTGAATAATTATTCATGCATACATTGCTTTGAAAACTACATTTTCCAGTCACAGGAGAAAATTACGCTAAAATGGAGTTTGTACAGGGTGATGTTTAATAATTTTTGTCATTCTTACCTGACAAGTGCTCAGGCTCAAATGGAAGCTGAGCAGAGATCAGCAAGATAGTTACTGGAACAGTGCTATGAACTGGTGGCTACCTACCACTATTACTCACTTGGTTCAAAGGTTCCTATACATTCATTTAACATCTCCCAAAATCTCTTCTACATTCCTCTTCTCCAGGTGCATACACGCTTATGACCCACTTTTCGCATCCAACCTTTACTTTAATCCACATATTTCTTGAATTTACACATTCATATTCTTTTCTCCTTCCATAACTGATCCTTCAACATTACTGCTACCCCTTCCTTAGCTCTAACTCTGATACTCCAGATTTAATCCCATTTATTGAACATTCAAATGGTATAAAATACAGACAGGTTGTTAGGTAAGACACATGCAACAGTTGGGTATCTTTGTTTCGAAACGTTTCAACTACACAGTAGGCTTCTTCAGTAGAGTACAGGAAAGTTGATAGAAGCAGAAGGTACTTGATGTAATCAGTCCATCACCCTTTAAGTTTTGAGGTGGTCAGTCCCTCAGTCTGGAGAAGAGTATTGTTCCGTAGTCTGAAACAATATGGAGTTGAAGCGACAGTATGGAGCCTATATACTGCCAGCAGGTGAGATGTAGGCCACTAGTAGAGGTAATAATGTTGGAAGATCAGGTCCCTCTCAAATCGAGCTATTCTCACTAGTATAAGTTGAGTTGTTTTCAGGTCTGTACCAAGATACCCTTATGTTGCAGTGTCTGACAGATTGAACATTCTATCAACTTTTCTGTACTCGACTGAAGCATGTGTAAGCAAAACGTTTCGAAATAGATACCTAACTGTTAAATGTCTTGCCTAACAATCCCATTTATTTCTCCCTACCGAAAGCCCCCACCCCCCTTCAGCTTTGTTTCGCTTAGGGCCAGGACATCCAACTTTTCATTCATAACATCAGCAATCGTCTGTTTCTTGTCATCTGCACTACATCCACACACATTCAAGCATCCCAGGTTTATAAAGTTTTTCCTTTTAGTAAATGTCTACAGAAGGGGTTACTAGCCCATCACTTCCGGCATTTTAGTCGCCTCGTACAACACTCGTGGCTTACGGAGGAAAGATTCTTTTCCACTTCCCCATGGACAAGAGAAGAAATAAAGAAAGGTATTTAGAAAAGAGAAACCTAGATTTGTATATATTTATTTATTTATGAATTTATGAATTTATGAATGTGGATAGAGGAGCAATGTGGCAGATGTTGCAAGTATATGGAATAGGTGGTAAGTTATTAAATGCTGTAAAGAGTTTTTATAAGGATAGTGAGGCTCAGGTTAGGGTGTAGAAGAGAGGGACACTACTACTCGGTAAAAGTAGGTGTAATGTCACCATGGTTGTTTAATATATTTATAGATGGGGTTGTAAAGGAAGTAAATGCTAGGGTGTTCAGGAAAGGGGTGGGATTAAATTTTGGGGAATCAAATTCAAAATGGGAATTGACGGGTACATTTTGCTGATACTGTGCTTATGGGAGATTCTAAAGAAAAATTGCAAAGGTTAGTGGATGAGTTTGGGAATGTGTAAAGGTAGAAAGTTGAAAGTGAACATAGAAAAGAGTAAGGTGATGAGGGTGTCAAATGATTTAGATAATGAAAAATTGGATATCAAATTTGGGAGGAGTATGGAAGAAGTGAATGTTTTCAGATACTTGGGAGTTGACGTGTCGGCAGATGGGTTTATGAGGGATGAGGTCAATCATAGTATTGATGAGGGGAAAAAAGGCGAGTGGTGCGTTGAGGTATGTGGAGCCAAAAAACGTTGTCTATGGAGGCAAAGAAGGGAATGTATGAAAGTATAGTAGTACCAACTCTTATATGGGTGTGAAGCTTGGGTGGTAAATGCAGCAGCGAGGAGACGGTTGGAGGCAGTGGAGATGTCCTGTTTAAGGGCAATGTGTGGTGTAAATATTATGCAGAAAATTCAGAGTGTGGAAATTAGGTGTGGAGTTAATAAAAGTATTAGTCAGAGGGCAGAAGAGGGGTTGAGGTGGTTTGGTCATTTAGAGAGAATGGATCAAAGTAGAATGACATGGAAAGAATATAAATCTATAGGGGAAGGAAGGCGTGGGTAGGGGTCGTCCTCGAAAGGGTTGGAGAGAGGGGGTAAAGGAGGTTTTGTGGGCAAGGGGCTTGGACTTCCAGCAAGCATGCATGAGCATGTTAGGAGTGAATGGAGACGAATGGTACTTGGGACCTGACGATATGTTGGTGTGAGCAGGGTAATATTTAGTTAAGGGATTCAGGGAAACCGGTTATTTTCATGTAGTCGGACTTGAGTCCTGGAAATGGGAAGTACAATGCCTGCACTTTAAAGGAGGTTTGGGATATTGGCAGTTTGGAGGGATATGTTGTGTATCTTTATACGTGTATGCTTCTAGACTGTTGTATTCTGAGCACCTCTGCAAAAAGTGATAATGTGCGAGTGTGGTGAAAGTGTTGAATAATGATGAAAGTATTTTCTTTTTGGGGATTTTTTTTTTTTTTTTGTCACCCTGCCTCGGTGGGAAACGGCCGACTTGTTGGAGAGAGGGGGGGGGGAAAAAAAAAAAATATATTTTTTTATTTATATATATATTTTTTATTTATATATATATATATTTTATTTATGTATATATATATATTTATATATGTGTATTATATACAGTGGACCCCCGCATACCATTGGCCTTGCATAACGTTAAATACGCATACCGCTACATTTTATCGCCAAGATTTTGCCTCGCATACCGCTAAAAAACCCGCTTAACGCTGTTCGTCCGAGACGCCTCTAATGTGAGACGCGTCTAATGTGCGCCCTTGGCCAGCCTCGCGTGTTCCGCCGGTGGCATTGTTTACCAGCCAGCCTCGCGGTAACATCCAAGCATACAATGGAACATTTTGTATTAGTGTTTTTGGTGATTAGCAGCTGCTGCTGCTGTAGCACCATCTGCTGCTGCTGTAGCACCGTCTGCTGCGGCTGTAGCACCGTCTGCTGCTGCGGCTTATTGAGAATACCAAGAAACAATTAACCCCAGAGGATTTGCCACCCTGAATAACCCAAAAGTCAGTGTCATCGAGACTAACTTATTTCCATTGGGGTCCTTAATCTTGTCTCCCAGGATGCAACCCACACCAGTCAACTAACACCCAGGTGAACAGGGAAAAATGCCTGGAACTAGTGCTCATATTGGTGAATTTAAAGCCAGCAAAGGTTGGTTTGAGAGATTTAAGAATCGTAGTGGCATACACAGTGTGATAAGGCCTGTTCTGGAAGAAAATGTCAAACAGGACCTACAGTACTCAGGAGGAAAAGGCACTCCCAGGACAGTCTCATCAGTCATTGCTGCATCTTCAATAAAGGTAAGTGTCATTTATTCTTCATTTAGTAGAGTAGTACATGCATAATATATATTGTGCATGTTTTCTTTTTCGGGCCACCTGCTTGGTGAATCGCTTGTATAAAAAAATATACTCTACTATTGTGCATGTATCCTTCTCTTTGTGTAGGAAAATGTATTTCATGTGGTAAATTTTTTTTTTCATACTTTTGGGGTGTCTTGCACGGATTCATTTGATTTCCATTATTTCTTATGGGGAAAATTCATTCGCATAACGATAATTTCGCATAACAATGAGATCTCTTGCACGGATTAATATCGTTATGCGGGGGACCAGTGTATGTATATTGTATATGTATATTGTATATGTATATAATGTGCATGTCTGTGAAGTGACCAAAGTGTAAGTAGGAGTAGCAAAATATGCCTGTTATCTAGTGTTTGAGACAGAAAAAGAAACCAGCAATCCTACTATCATGCAAAAGTTTCCAGTTTTTCAGTCATCTGGTATGATGGTAGTCCTTCCCTGGGTGGTTGCCGTCTACCAACCTACTACCTACCTAGAATTTATGCGTATAAATACATCGGAAACAGTGGCGCGTAAGATGTATATATACAACATAAACAGTCAAAGGGTTAAGCTGCTGGGAGAGTTGCTCAAGAGAAGACATCTTGGTTCAGATTCACAGGGAGCACAACAGACAAGTCTTCAGAATTAAGTACAGATCACCACTGGGAGTCAAGTACAGGTCACATCTCCCATCTACAGGTGAATAAACACTAACTCTAAAACACTTCTCACATCCGACTAGCTCTAATTCTATCTCAAGTTCTCTCCAATACACTGTATATAACCCCACTTACCCCTCTACTATTGAAATTCTACCTTGTCTTGGCTTTGTTTTACTTAGCACTTAGACATGCAGCAAATCTTACAAAGCATAGTCGTTTCTTTTTTTATTTGTACTATACACAAATTCATTAAAATAACCTAATCTTAAAACTACTTGCTTTGTCATTTTACTAATTGATACAGAAGGGTTGTTTCTAGCCCCTTGCTTTTGGCATTTTAAGTTTCTTAGGGAGAAGGGATGGTAATGTCCTTAGAATTGAGAGAAAATGCTACAAAGGATAAAGTACTAAAATTCAGAAAAAAATTGAGGTGAATATGTATTCTCACATATGATTGCACATAAACATTCATGTAAATTTAGGGCATTCTGGATGTAAGTATAAGCTGCAAGATTTTCCTGTCATCTTAATGTTTGAGCCAAGGAAATGACCAGTAATTCTGGCAGTGTGCAAAACATTTAAGAGGTTTGTTTCACAGCAGTGTGACAGAATGATGGTAGTCCCTGAGTGGTTGCTGTTTATCAACCCACTATCCATGGTTTCACTGTTTTATTGTATAACTTTTTCAACTTTGATAATTTTCAATGTTCATTTCACTATTTTTAAATTTAGATCATGAAACTAATCTAAATTGGTATTATGTATCTTGACAACTTTGAGTAATGTTTTTAAAGAGGTCAGGAAAAATTTAGTTGGATATGCTTAACCCATATTTTTTTTCACAGGGGAACATGCGTGTTTTGTAGAGTTCGCCCATTAATAGGCGAAGAAATAAAGATCAATAAGAAGTCGGAAATTATTCATCATATGGACTTCCGTAATGGGCGAACTCTTCAGATCTGCAAGAATGCAAGTGAGCATTAGTGCTTCTAGTTGGGTTTAAAAGATGATTTTATGAATAAAGATGTATGCTGTACAACTTAAATTGTTTGTGTTATCAGTTTTAAAGAGAAGTATGTGGAATAAATTTTAAAAATATGTATGTGACATCACTTTAAAATAGAAATCTTTCAACAAACCGGCTGTATCACACTGAAGCAGGGTGGCCCAAAAAGAAAAACTGAAGTTTTTTTTAACTTCAGTAATGTATACAGGAGAAGGGGTTCATAGTCCCTTGCTCCTGGTATGTTAGCCACCTCTTACTAAACGCATAACTTGTTGAGGAAGAATTGTTTTTTTTTTTTAACACATCGGTAGTCTCCCACCGAGGCAGGGTGACAAAGAAAGAATCTCCAAAAAGAAAATACTTTAATCATTCACCACTTTCACCTCGCTCATGCATAATGTCTTTGCAGAGGCACTCAGATATGACGGTTCAGAAGTCCCTCCAAACTGCCAATATCCCAAACCCCTCCTTCAAACTGCAGGCATTGTACTTCACATTTCCAGGACTCGAGTGCAGTTAACCAGTTTCCCTGAATCCCTTCACAAGATATTACCCTGCTCACACTCCAACAGCTCATTGGGTCCCAAAAAACATTAGTCTCCATTCACTCCTATCTAACATGCTCACACATGCTTGTTGGAAATCCAAGCCCCTCGCCCACAGAACCTCCTTTACCCCCCCCCTCCCTCCAACCTTTTCAAGGATGACCCCCTACCCCTCCCCCTCCACTACAGATTTATACTCTCCAAGTCTTTCTATTTTGCTTCAACCTCTAAATGACCCAACACCTCAATAACCCCTCCTCAACCCTCTGAATAATAATTTTAGTAACTCTGCACCTCTTGATTTCCACACTATGAATTGTCTGCAGAATATTTACACCACACATTGCCCTTAGACATGACATCTCCACTGCCTCTAGCCTCCTTGCAGCAGCATTAACAACCCATACTACAAACCCATATAAAACTCTTGGTACCATTATACTTTTGTACATTCCCTTCTTTGCCTCTTTGGATAGTTTTTTCTCTCCAGAGATACCTCGGTGCACCACACACCTTTCCTTCATCAGTTCTATGGTTAACTTCGTCCTTCATAAACTCGTCTGCTGACAAATCTACTCCCAAATATCTGAACACATTCACTTCTTCCATATTCCCTCCCTCCAATGTGATTTCCAACTTTTCTTTACCTAACTTGTTTGATACCCTCATTACCTTACTCTTATCTGTGTTCACTTTCAACTTTCTTAACACACCCTACCAAACTTGTTCACTAACCTTTGCAACTTCTCTTTAGAATCTCCAAACACAGAATATCGCTATTTTAAGACTAACTTCATTTTGGTATATTGTACGTATGGTAATTAGTTTGGAAACGGTGGATGTTTTGTTTGACGGCAGTGTATTGTGAATGAAGAAAATTTGTATCTTGGGAATTAGGTGTGGGATTACCAGAGGCATTTTTCAGAGGGCTGAGGAGGGGTTGAGGTGGTTTCTCTATCTAGAGGATAGAACAAAACTTGTTAACTAGGAGGGTGTATAAATTGGGGTGGAGAGAAGGAAGAGGGTTAAAGGAGGTTCTGAGTGTTAGGGGCTTGGATATCCAACATACTTGTGTGAGCGAGTTAGATAGCGAGTGGAAGAAAGTAATTTTTGACTTTGTTCCAGACTTGAGCCTTAGTGGTTGGAAGTAGTGCCTACACTCTGATGACAAGTAGATATTAGTTTGGAGGGCCATCTGAACTGTGATGTCAGCATGCTGTGCTGGCAAGACAGTGATTAAATGAATGATGCTGAAAGGATTTCCTGTATTTTTGGGTCTCCCTTCAGTGGGAGATGGCCAGTTTGCTAATAAAAATAATTAAAAGATGGGAAGTAATGAAGCTACAGCATTATTTTCCAGACTGGGGTACATACAGTTGATTAAGGGGTGTGACAGTCCCAAAATGTCTAAATATTTAATTGATTTGGGCATAATTATACAGAGCATTTGTCACTATATATGACTTCTACCTTTTGATGTGTGAAATTAGTTTTTCTGTTGCTGTAATAGAAAATGTGCTGCTCTCAGTTATTAGAAAGTTTATGAAAAGGTTTTTTCTGGCAAGCTTGTAAAAAATTTGTGCTTTTAACATTTTCTTTGTCCACTTTGAGAATGCAATAACAAAAATTCCCCTATATAATATATATATATATATATATATTATATAATATAATATATATTTATTGTATTTACTTAATATATAATTATAATATAATTAAATAAATATATAATAAACTTTTTGGTGTTTCCCTACTGGTCCAAAATAAATTATGAATGTAAATTAAATCAGAATATTTTAGAATAAGGAAATGCTGGAGGTCAGAAGTACAGTGCCTGCATTCTAAAGGAGGGGGTTTGGGATATTTGCTGTTTGCAGGAACATCTGAACTGTCATAGCTGCATACCTCTGGCAAGACAGTGATAGTGTGATTGATGGTGACAGTTTTTCTGGATCACCCTGCCTTAGTGGGAGATGGCCTGTATGTTAAAAAAATTATATATAACCCAGTAAAGTCATTCACTGTGACTTATTTTTGTTTTGACAAGTTATACAGTAACAATTGCAATGTTATAATTAATCAGTGTACAAAGTCTTAAAGTAATTTTTCACCAAGGCAGGCCCCTCAGGGAAGGTTCCTTGATGTTGGTGAGGGGCTCTTGATTTAGGGAATTTGATCTGTGCTCTAGCTCCCTGAATGCTTTCCACATCATCCCCCAGTAGCTTCCTGTATATCCTATGGGTTTAGCGCTTCCCCCTTGATTAAAATAATCACCAAGGCAGGCGACACAAAAAAGAAATGCCATCACCATAATCACCACCCACCAATCACCATCATGTGTGCTGACACTACAATGAAAAGACTTTAACACATCTCCACCCCTCCTTCAGAGTGCCAACACTGTACTTGCCACCTCCCTGAATCCTTTCATAAATGTTACATTGGTCACTCCAACAGCACATCAGGTCATAAAAAACCATTAGTCTCCACTTGCTCCTATCTAACATGCTCATGCATGATTCCAGGAAGTCTTAGCTCCTCACACACAAAACCTTAACCCTCATCCTGTAACCTTTCCTAGGATGACCTCCACCTAGCTGTATTTATACCACATAATAGTACAGGCTCTCCTCGCTTAACAGTTCCTTTCCTAATACCACGTCGATAAACTAATTTGTCACTCGACAACGAGCGTATTATAATGGTAGCGAGTTTGTCAGCCATCTTTGATATTGCTTTAATGTCACCCTTGCACCATTTATAACATTTTTAGCATATTTTTAAATGTTTATACAGTAGTGTACTGTATACAGCCTCTCATCAATGGAGTTTCATTCCTAAGACCACATCGTTAAACAAATTTGTCGCTAAGTGAAGAGTACTACACTATAATGGTATCGAGTTTGTCGACCATCTTTGATATTTTTTTAATGTCACCTTTACACCATTTATAACATTTCTGGTATATTTTTAAATGTTTATACAGTAGTGTACTGTATATTGAAATAAAGAAAATCTGCTCTAATATAAATTACATACATGTATTTAGGTATGAATACTGCTCAGAGCGCCCTTCGTAAGTCTGAGGCTTTGGTAAATGTGTACGTCACTAAGGAGAGGCTGTATTGTAATAAACAGAATAGAGGAAATCGGCTCTAATATACATTTAGGTATGCATACTGGTCAGAGCCCGTTGTAAGTCTGAGTCATCGGTAAACGAATACGTCGCTAAGTGAGAAGCTGTATGTCGTATATTCCAAGTGAAGCAATGTCGGGTTAAGTAGTTTCCTATGTTTGAAGTGCTAAAACACCTTTAACCATTTCACTAGTCAAACCCCTGACCTAAAACTTATCCAGTGTCCAAGAATATTCAAAAAAAATTTATTTTTTCTTATGAAATGGCAGAGAACCTTACTCTTCAAGGTAATAAAACAAAAATTGATAATTACATTTTCGTGAATTTTACTGTTAGTGATATTTATGCATTAACAATTTTACCCACTTAGAGTCCAATTTTAGGCCAATTACATTGTTCCAGTCTACTAAATTCTTACTTATTTTGCTAGTGTCTTCCATTTTATTGACTGAGCAAAAGCAATTGCCCAGTCAACTATTTAAACTACCCAATAAAGTGATGAGAAATTGGTATATTGGCCAATTTCACAAATTTCAAAATAGGGTCGAGAATAAACATTGTAGGCATTCATGGTACTAAAATAACATTTCCTCTGTTCATTAGTTACATTGCCAGGCTTCACGCATGAATTTTTTATGCACACAGTATTATAATGTGAAAATTATATAAAATTGTATATACAGTGGACCCCCGGTTTGCGATGCTATCGGTATCCGATAAATCCGGTAACCGATGCATTATATCGCAGAGAATTTGCCTCGGTTCCCGTTACAAAACCTGGTATGCGATGCGGTTCATACGAGACGTGTCGACGTGTGGCCTGAACTGCACCATGTGTGCCAGTGTTTACAAGCCAGCCAGTGAGCGCGCATCTAAGGATACATTCGGTACATTCCATATTATCACTGTTTTTGGTGCTTGTTTCTGCAAAATAAGTCACCATGGGCCCCAAGAAAGCTCCTAGTGCCAACCTTTTGAGACCAAGAGTGCTAATGACTGTTGAAATGAAGAAAGATAATTGCAAATTATGAAAGTGGAGTGCGTTTGTCGGAGCTGGTAAGGTTGTATAGTAAACCCCAATCAACCATCTCTACTATAGTGAGCAGGAAAATGGCAATCAAAGCTGTTCTTGCAAAATGGTGCAACTGTGACTATGAAACAGTGACTGCAAGTGTTAGAAAATGTTGACTGTTATTGGTGTAGATAAATGAAAAACAGATAGCAGGAGATAGCATCTCTCAAGCGATCATTTGTAAAAAGGCTAGGCAGTTGCATGACTATTTGGT